ACACTTGAACGTCATTGAGCACCTACTTAATGTAGAACAGAGGACTAGTTCTAACAATACAATAAATATTAACACTAGCAATTTTTTTAATGTAATTTTACTATCGTTTAGTAAATAAATATTTCATTTAATCTATCTTATAATATATTTAATATTATTACATTTAATATATTGTTATTTTAATTATTATTTAATTATTTTTATATTTTAATTTAAAAACTAAAGTTATATTATTAGTTGATAAAATAACTATAACTAAAAATAAATTATAAATGAATAATTTTAAAATCAATGGATTCTAAGGGTCCTCCAAAGCAAATGAAGATTTCACTTGACATTTACAAAGATCTTCCATTGTATTTGAAAAGTAAAATTAAATTTTTTAAGTGAGCTACAATACATTTGGCTGCCCTTTTAAAAAAAATTATTTGTAAGGAAGAAAGGAGATAACAAAATCATGTCAAGAACACATAAAGAAAATATCAATATTATGAATCTAATTAAAATTTATTATTTTTCATAAAAATTAAAATACTGTGAAAAATATAATTTCAAAATTTTATTTTAATTAATTTAACCCATTTAAAATTTACAAAGAGTTTACATGAGTCAAATTAAAAATTTTAAGGGACCTCCGATACATATGGACATCCTTTAATTGTTTGAGTGTGGCATTTTGAAACTTTTGAAGATATGTTGGTAAAATATTCAAATATATGTTGAGTGTGGTATTTTGAAACTTTTGAAGGTATGTTGGTAAAAAAAAATCAAATATATGTATTTGTTAGAGCTGAGCTAGTCCATATGAGTCGACCTATCAAGTTCGAAAAATCATAGGGTTTGAACCTTAAAATTAGAGTCTATAAAGTTTGTCAACATGCTCACAATAAGAAGGAGACCGTGTAGTCGAGTTGTCATTCGATGTAGACTTCATTTTCTTCGGAGCACCTTTTATCTTTATCGGTTGAGAAGACGGTTTCATGTCGGTGTTTCAGGATAGACAATCTTCCTCAATTTTTCTTTGATGTGGAGTTTCATGTTGTCATAGGCCTTTGAGAATCTCTCTTGTATCGCTTTCCATTCGGTCAAAATAGAGATATTCAGTTTACCTCCTTCCATTCAACCATCATCATCAAAATTAAGTATTTTCCAATGAGGGCAAACTTTGTCCATTCTTATTGGCTCACCTAGTTTTAACTTTTTAGAAATAACACAAGCACATAGGTTTTTACAATAGTGAAATCACACTTTGCACTATCAGAACCTACAGTTTCAGCTCGTTTGGCCTCATGAAAAAGATAGTTCAACCCCGGCCGAGATATATTGCCGATTAATTGAGAATAAAGAATGTTGCCTTTGAATCGATATTCCAATACTGTTATACTCAGACCAAATGTTGTTTGTATCTCATTATGTTGGTTTTTAATTATGATATTTACGAAGTCCCAATTTCGAAACAAATCCCCCTTGCTATTACCCAACCAATTTTTAAACTAGCATGAGCCGACTCAACTCTATTAGTGGTTGTACTTCCAAGGTGTCGGACATTATCAGTCCACGCACATACTAGCTTCTTCTTTACTTGATCAAGAATGATGCTTTCAACGTATTTTAATAAAGCATAATACTTTTCAAACACTTTCCAGAATTGAATGACGGAATCGAGATATAATTATTTTGTGGAAGAATTTAGTATACGATTCCACACATCCATTATTTTTTCAACAATCACACCGACCTTCACCAACTTTCCACCTTCAGACTCTACTTGTTTCGCCCCCACCGCGGGTTTAACCCGACTTCTGACATTGTTTGTTATGTGATATCAACAGAGTAATGCATTAGAAGAAGGAAATAACTTTGCAACCGCATTCATCAACACGGTATCGCAGCTGGTAACAATCGCTTTAGACATCTCAACTTGGTCCTTCAAAAGTGACCGACACACCTCTAATGCCCATGTAAAATTGTCCTCTTTTTCACACTCCAGAAAAGCAAAACCAATGTCATATGTCTTCTCGGTAGACATAACACCAACCATCTCAAATAAAGGAAGCCTATACTTGTTGGTCTTGTAGGTAGAATCAAGAATGAGCATTGTCGAGAATGTGTTGAACAACTTTATCGAATCCGGATGAGTCCAAAAAATATCTCGGACCATAACTCCGTCGTTGCAAGTTCTGTATGGGACACGTAACTGTTATCATCAAAAAATTTCAACAATTGTTGCATCTCACTTCTATCTCCATTAATCGCCTTGTTGGTCCGGTACCAAATGTTATACACTTGTCTTATATTTGATATATTGTCGAGTTCCTTCTGTTTCAATGTGGCAAGTATATTTTTCGGTTGTACAAGATTCACGGTCATGTCACTAATACATGTCTTCTCTTCCGACTTGAGCTGACATAGACTAGGATGGTATTGTAACTTTAAGCACAATTCAAGGTTATGCAAACCACAAATAACACTAAATTTCCACTTTTTGGTACTCAACATGTAACCACAAATCTTAAAAAGACATTCATATTTTCTACTACAGGTGTCGTCTCTTTTAAACTTCCGTAGAGGAGTCTGATATTTTCCTCTTCTTTCACACAACAAAGTTACAAAAAACGTTTCTTCTTTCCAAACCATTGTTTGATATTCCTATAACCACACCAAAACCAAGTCTAGTTGCAGTCCTACGAATCCATGTAAGCATGCTATCACGATCATCCAACTCTTACTTGTTATTAAAGTCAACACCGATATCTACCGACTTTACGACAACTCCTTGAACATTCGGAGAAACATCGTTTGTAGAAACTAATTCTTTTGATATATTATCAGGGTGCACCATATCTATATGTAAACAATAAGAAAAATAAACAAAAATTACAAATATGCTATGAAAAAATAAGCCACAAACATGTTATGGAGATGTATATCCAGAAGTGTTCATCTTCAACATGTTCCGGAGGTACAACTCCGGAAGCAACGTTACTTTTTTCCCCCAAAAGTTTGATGATTAATATGAGCAATGTAGTGGATAAAGTGAAATCTTTATCTGAAATTCGATCTTCTCTTGCTCCATTTGATTTGTTGCACGAAAAAGGTTGAGTTTTGGAGTGAAAAAATGATATTGAGAATGTAGGGTTTTTCAGTTTGGTGAAGGTGAGTGTGAAAGAAGAAAACACAACAATGAGAGAGTGATCATGCAGGTTTCAAATATAGCATAAACTTCCGGAGTTGTTTCTACGGAACAATCTGGCGCTTAGACGTTCCGGAGGTGCATCTACAGAAGTTTTTTTTGAACTGAATTATTTTGAAGTTTTTCCCAGTTTAAAATTATTCCGTAGATGTAACTCCGGAAAAACCCAAATTTTGGCACAAAAAAGGTGCGTCTGGATATGTATCTCCGAAAGCAGGGGTATAAAAGGAAATGCGCTAGGTGCCTAAGAGTATCAAGGGGTGGATTAAGAAATTCTCATTTTTTATGGCTTTATTAGCCCAACCCTAAAAAATTTGTTACCTATTAAGGCTAGCCCATGTGGGCCGTGGGTAGTCCATTAGGCCCACATTCTTATAAATTTTAAAAAATTATATTAATACTTATATTGTCTTGTTTCAAAGTAACACATTGATTTTTCTCACTTCACTAAATTTTATCTCAATTCTATTTAATCTTTCTCTTTTAAATATTATACATTAATATAATCAACACTATCTTCTCGTTTTCTATTAGTTTTTGTTATGTTAAATATTATAGTATTATTTTATACAATTTAAACATGTATTACATTTAAAAACACATTATAATATTTATAAAAAAATATAGTACTTAAAAATTATATTATATTTAAAATAATATAAAATTTTAATTTTATTTTAATAAATGCTATGACATTTTTATTTAAAAAAATCGTTTAGGATTTGGTAGTTCGAAATCCATCTAGACCAAATTCAGATAGTTATTTTTGAATTCATATTAAAAATAAATTTTTTTGTCTAACCCTAAAAAGTTTAAGTCTACCAGAGTCGACATGTTTAGAATCGAATAATCCATTCTAACAACCGTTATATTAAATGGTACTTGAAATTCATAAAATATTTTGTTTTATTTATTTTTATATCTCACTTCTTAATACTTCATCAATCTATTATATTTAATCTTATCACTTTGTTTTACCAAATACTTAAAAAAAAGTGTTTGTCTTTTTTCAAAGATAAACACTAATTTTAAATATACAACACTTTTTGTAGGCCATTTCTTTAAATTTCCATCCTGAAATGTTAAAAAAAAAATTTTTTACCCTTTAAGTGTCAAAGTTACTCTTTATAATATTTTATTTATTTATTTCAGATTTATTATTTAAATTACACAATTAAAAAAAATAAAAAAATAATAAGAAATAAATCGAAACCCGCCTATGTTAAAGAAGTGTTATATATTTTTAGAAAAAAATTTATTGTCTTATCCTGATGGCTTTTGTGATATAGCACTCCTTTTGATCATCGCATTATTATTATTATTATTATTATCACACAAAAATTGATCTTAAATCTTAAATTATTATTATAAACAAAATTTGACTATTTTAAAGTTATTTATTATTATTATTCTTAATATATCATTGAAAACATTGAATACAAGTAGTTTAGTGAATTTCTTTATTAAATACCAATTATAATACTTAAATAAATTTAATTTACATTCTACATTATTTTTAAAAATAAAAGTGATCACACTTAATTAATTTTCTCAATCATTATAAAAATAATTGTCTTGTTGTGTTTGGGGTGCCAAGCCAACTTTTCACAGCCCCTCTACAATTCCTCTTTTAGTTTGAAAAAACAAAAAACATTTTCTTATAAAAAAAATATAGAGCAGCCTAAAATAGCAGTTTCCTGGACAATTTTTGCAGTCACCTGTTCCCTTCATTTCTTCTCTCTATTCTCCTCTCTCAACTTCTCCTTCGCGCCATGAACCTATAGATACCTCCCTCACACACTCACCTATGGCGTATCAAAACCACCAACTTCCTCCAAACCATTTCACTCCTGATGACTCCACCACCACCAAACCAACCTTCCAAACCGCACCTAGCTGGCTCAACAACGCTCTTCTTCCTAACAACTCATCAAACACCAACACCAACACCAGTACCAATTTCCTCAACCTCCACTCCGCCGTCGCTTCCGCTTCTCAATCCTCCTCCCAATGGCCGAGGATTGAAGATTCCACCATGGCCGGCATGAAAGCACTGGAGAGCGGCGAGCCGGCTGCGGAGGAGGGAATAATGAACTGGCAGAAAGCCAAATACAAAGGGGAAATAATGGCGCATCCGTTGTACGAACAGCTCTTATCAGCGCACGTGGCATGTTTGAGAATAGCCACGCCGGTTGACCAGTTGCCGAGGATTGACGCTCAGCTGGCTGAGTCGCAGAATGTTGTTGCCAAGTACTCTGCCTTTGCACAAGGCATGCTTGATGATGATAATAAACATCTCGATCACTTCATGGTATATCATTTATTTCTCTAATTTATTTTTCTCAATAAACTAAAGCACTTTGCGGGTTAATTAATGGATTGAATTGAATATCCAAGAGCACCTTAAATGAGATGGTAAGAAATCTCTTCTAGTTTAACAGAGTTTTACCATCCTTCAGAGATTAGTCTCTGCAGTTGCGCGCAGATGATATCTGGTTTCTATAAGAAAAAAATTGATTGAATTGAATATGAAAATTTGTGATACTTGAGCTACTTGTTTTATTGGCTTTAAATCCAGTGATTTTTTTTTTTTTTTGCCGGAGTGAAGTTTTTTTCATTCATTTTTCTACTTTTGTATGGTTGAATGTAATAATGATTCTGATCTTTAATTTGTCATGGTGTGGCGTGTGATTCTAATTAAGGTAGACAAAGGTGTTTGGTTTGGTATTTTCTGTTGTACTGTTCTAATTTTGAAATTTTCCTCATTTATATTGTTTGTTGCAGTCACACTATGTTTTGTTGCTTTGTTCTTTCAAAGAACAGCTCCAGCAACATGTCCGGGTCCATGCCATGGAAGCAGTAATGGCTTGTTGGGAGATCGAGCAATCCTTACAAAGTCTAACAGGTGCATTAATAATCTTCTTCGCGCGATTTTAGTACATCTTAAATAATAAAATCACTGTTAAATATTTTTCATTACAAAGTTCAGTGTAGAATAATTGGTAGTCAAAGAGGAACATGGCTACATGGATTTAAAGTTTGTTCTTTGTCCCTTTTGAATTCTTTAGGTTTGGGAAACTTCAAATCACCGTTAACTTTATTTCAAAATGTGTTCTAAAATGTATTGAAGACATTATAGTTATACTGTGTGGCCCATTTGTCCTTGCTTGTTTTTAGACAGAATTGTCCATAGCATGTTATCATCATGCAAACTATTAGTCATAATTTCACAAACTTTTTTTGTTGGATATTAGGTACTAAGTTGTTGTGCATAATAAACAGCAAAAGTACACAGCACTTTTTTCCAATTGAAGTGATAGTTTTTACCACATGATTAACAGGAGTTTCACCCGGAGAAGGTACAGGAGCAACAATGTCTGAAGATGAAGATGAACAAGTGGAGAGTGATACTAATCTGTTTGATGGAAATTTGGATGGTTCAGATAATAGTATGGGAGGATTTGGTCCTCTTGTTCTAACAGAGAATGAGAGGTCCTTAATGGAACGTGTAAGACATGAATTAAAGCATGAGTTGAAACAGGTACAACACTAAGAGATTGCATTAAATGTTGAATAGGAAAGGTAGAAAATCAATTAAGGATAATAATAATTTTTTTTTTCTTTCACAAGCTTACAAAATTAGTCACATTTCTTAGTTTTGAAGTCTTTCTTGAGCCCCATCATTTCAGATTTCTTCCCAGGAAAAGGACCTTGAAATTCTTGTCTTTATATGCAGGGTTATAAAGAGAAAATTGTGGACATCCGAGAGGAAATTTTACGAAAGAGACGAGCAGGGAAACTTCCCGGTGACACGACCTCAGTCCTTAAAGATTGGTGGCAATCACATGCAAAGTGGCCTTATCCTACAGTAAGAATTTCCAGATCTTGAAAAATAATTTACGGATATGTCAAAGAATCTTTTACGGATGAATATTCCGGGTTCATCTTTGATATTATGTTGTGCCGTTTTCAGGAAGAGGATAAGGCAAGGTTGGTGCAAGAAACAGGTTTGCAATTGAAACAGATCAATAATTGGTTTATCAATCAAAGGAAGAGAAACTGGCACAGCAATCCTTCAACTTCTAATGTCATGAAGAGCAAGCGCAAGAGGTATTTTATTTCATAGTATTATAAAATATTCGACATTTTCATGATCTTAAATTAGCACCGATCTTAAATTAGAAAGAAGTAATGCATGCAGGTGAAAAAAAAAGTGATGGTGGTTACATATAAATGGCGACAAACTCAAGAACTAATACCTCAGCATGGCAGCAGATCCAACAAATCAATGAAAGGTGAAAAGAGAATCACATTTTGCTTCTGATCAAGGGACTGGGAGGACACAGAGGTTAAAACAGAGATGAGGAAGCTTGAAGACATGCAGTAGAAGCACCTAGGATGCAACAAAAAGCTCACATATATTTTTATCTCTAAATATAACTTCTTTCCAAAGTACTAGTTATTATTATTATTTTTTTCAGTCCCTCTATTTAACAAATCAGCTTGAGTTTAAATTTTCATTAATTTTAGGAATTAAAAATCAAATGAAATATTAAAACCTGCATAATGAGTTGTGTTATTTCGTAATTTGTAAAGTCGTGATACCTATGTAATGTAAGCGAATTTGGTTTTACCTTCTAATTTTTTTTATTCCCCTTTTAATATATATATATATATATATATATATATATATATATATATATATATATATATATATATATATATGAATGAGTGAGGATCAACTTACTCCAAAAGTGTAAGTTTTTTTAATTTATTCCAAATCATAACCTTTGAATTGAATTCAATCTAATGGTTAATTAAATAAAAAGCTAATTAAACAATTAAATTACATTCAATTCAAATGCTATGATTTGGAGTAAGTTAAACAAATTTATTTTTGGAGTAAGTTGATCTCATATATATATATATATATATATATATATATATATATATATATATATATATATATATATATATATATATATATATATATATATATATATATATATATATATATATATATATATATATATATATATATATATATATATATATATATATATATATATATATATATATATATATATATATATATATATATATATATATATATATATATATATATATATATATATATATATATATATATATATATATATATATATATATATATATATATATATATATATATATATATATATATATATATATATATATATATATATATATATATATATATATATATATATATATATATATATATATATATATATATATATATATATAATGGGATCAACTTACTCCAAGAATAATAGTCTTTAAATTGAATCTAATCTAATGGTTAAATTAGTTTTTATATTTATAACAATTCGATTAAATCTAATTTAAAGGTTATAATTGTTAAGTAAGTTATAAAAACTTACTCTCTTGGAGTAAGTGGATCCTCACTTTATATATATATATATATATATATATATATATATATATATATATATATATATATATATATATATATATATATATATATATATATATATATATATATATATATATATATACCCTTATGCGTACAATTTGAACACTAAATCTGGGGATAAACAAAAAAAAATATTACAAGGGGTAACTTTGACGTTTAGAGGGCAAAAGACATAGAATTTTAACATTTTAAAGGGGATTCAAAAAAAATTTTACAAGGTGTAAACTGAAACTTGCCTACATTACATGACGTGTTGAATATTTAACCCTTAATTTAAATAGTCTAAATGATAATTAATCTATTAATTAAATCTACTCAAATTCACAAACTAACAAGAACAAAAGTAAAAATAGAGAATCAACGTAGAGAAATTGTTTATCTGATTCGTTCCAAAATGATTTAGTCTGAAGAAGAGAATAGTTTTCTGAACCATTATCAATCATGTTTCTTTGCAAAATGCAAATGCTTTCACCAAGTGTTTCACCACAACCACAACAATCACACGTGCAACATCATTACACATCATTTATGAACATGTGCTTCTAGTATTTCAAATTCTTATGATTTTGGTTACTTACAGGATAGACTAGATTGATCATAGGACATCTATTTCTATTCGTTTCATGTTTTGTTATGTATGAACATCTCGACAATGTCCTTTTGATTGATTAAAGGTAAAATTACAATTCTTAAAGAAATGCAGAAAAGTAAATCACAAGTTAAATGACTTCAAAGTAAATTTACATGAAATGTAAAAGACGAAATCTTAAATGATTCAAAGAAATATAAAAGTATGATGGTCACACGTACATTTCACTCATGAAACTTTTTTCTCAACACACAGATACTTTGAGTAAATTTGAGTTTTTGTACAAGTTTCAACACACGAATCCTAATTGCTAAGACTCATATTTATAATTAATCGAAAATAACTGTAATCTAACGGTTTTTTCGTTAGAAAATGTCACGTCTTTGATTTTCATACATTTCGCTGCTCAAAGCTTTCCACGTGTCTTCAAGAAACGGATAAGGCCAAAAAATAGTTATCCGTCTCATTTTGAATTGCATTCGTGGAACGCTGCTCCAAACAACTCCGTCGAACTCAAGTTTAAATTAAACATATTTCTAAGTCTCAGACCATAATTTCCTGTATGCAACGAAAATCTTCTTCAACCATATCCTTGAAAACCTTTCTGTCGAAAATAACATATTCTTTTTTCAGAATATCTCTTCAAATTCCACTAACTCATTTCAAATCTTCATGTACGTCGAAATACCAACCAACAAATTGCCCCCCAGAAATGTCATTTTCGATTACAAAGAGAAAAAGACATTTTTTGAAATGTTTCGATGCTACAACATCTTCACGGCTATGACGTCATGATCATCATGACCATGTCTCTTCAGACGTCTTTTTGAGACGTGCGAAAATCCAACTTTAATCATCATGCTCGTACTTCCTAGGAGATATTGGGTCACACCAACTGCCACCATTCAATCAATCTCTCCCTGATCAACACGCGTCCCATGATCGACACCCACTATCGACATTGTTAAAATGAAACGTTTTTCTCACTCCACTATAAATACTTCAACTCATCTTCTTCCTCACTTTTTACACTTCTGAACTTTTTCTCCTCTCTAAAGCACAAGAAAAAAAACTCTTCATTTCTTCTTAAAAAGCTCCAAAGAAACATCAAATCTTTTCTTCATTTCCAACATCAATGGCGTCCAAAACTAAGAACCCAAAAGATTCCAAGAAGCAAATATCTCTTTCTCCAGTTCATAAGATTCTAGGTCCCAAAGTTGTAGGGAATCAACAATACATCCCAGAACCTCCACTTGAAGAAGAGAAACGAAGCATCTACCGATCTCAGATATTAATCCCCATTTTAATTTCTGAAAAAACACATGCAATTGATGGTCCTTTACTAGAGAATAATACTAATGCTGAAAAACTTAGAGAATATATTCCAACTTATCATAGAACTAAACCCATAGCAAGTAGGAAAAAATATAAGGCTAGCAACGAAGTTGTGAACACTGAACCATGTAAGGTAGCTGATACCTAGATAAAGTCCTCAACTAAGCCTATAGAAAAACCCATTAATATAGATTATAGAGCAATGCTCTTAGAGTATTTCGCTCTTGCCCCTTATCGAAAGACCCTGGGAATTACTTGTCTTGGCTTGCGAAGATAGAGAAAAAGAAAACCCAATTTTAGAAAGATGTGGAAATCTTCGACATGATTCAACCGTCGAAAGCTGGACCAGGTTATTGCCAAACTATGTTGCTAACCTCCTTGTATTTATGAGATATTATCGCAACTGCAAAAAGGGTCGGCGGAAACAAACAGAAGAGTCGTCACCAAATGTTATTTATCCCAAAGAGAGGGAAAAGAAACGATAGAAGAAAACCTAAGAGAACGGGAAAGACAAGGTCATCACAACCAAATCTTGGGTTCGGGATTCGGTTACACAAGGGGAAGGTATGAGCACCCCTCACGTCCGTTGTACTCAACGGGATCCGCGCTTGTTATCTAAATCTAAGGGTGAAAATTATCTAAAAGCTACTGCTAAACGGGGGTGAAAAGAAAAGAAAAGACTCTATAGGATATTGTCGCCCTATGCCTACATATTTCCTCGTGCAATGGGAAAGTCAGAGTCAACGTAGTTCAGGAAACTACGAGTGATGGGGGGAGGTTGCTCGCCAAGACATCGCCGTCTTGTACCTACGTATCCTCATTTGGTATGAGAAATCAGAGCAAACATAGTTCGGGAAACTAGACCACTGGTTGGTTAAGAGTTTTTTATGAGCGACGTTAAATCTCCATTCCGGCAGTTAGGGACGATGCCTGTTTGCGGTAGAACGGAAAAGTGACGTACTCTTTATGAAAATGAGGTTTGAAAATAATCTTGAAGGATGAAAAGGTTTGAGTTTTGTTTGTAAGTTTTAAAAGAAGTGGATTGAATTGATTTGAGACTCATATTGCACTAAAGACTATGACACAAGAGCGAATGCGTCGCATATCGCCCAAAGGGCATACGCTAAACACTCTAGACACGTGGAGAGAGACCTCCCCACTTATCATTTCTCATGTACTTAAGGATCGTAGCGTACAACACTTGTCATTCTTTATTAAGTGTCTTAAAGAAGTTTGAGATGAGAAGAGAAGACACAAGGACACTAAAAGGAGCTGAGAACCCTAATGTTGTCATGCAAAGTGGTCCTAATGTTGGGATAAAAGGGTACTACCTAATGTTGTCATGCAAAGTGGTCCTAATGTTGGGATGAAAGGGTACTACCTAATGTTATCATACAAAGGATTGAAAGCATAATGTCTCTCCTACTCCCATCTTAAACAGAGGGACTAGGAATCCTAAGGGATCATGTGAGCAAACACAAGTAAACACAACACTAATCAATCACAGATGAAAACAGAAAGCAAAACTTAAACAAGTCATGGAAGATGAGAAGGGGGTGAGAAGAACAAACACAAACAAATAAATGAGGGGAGAAATAGAGTGGGTCAGCAACCACATTATGATCATCAAAATCATACATCCATTCATAATCATTCAAAAGAAAACATCCAAACACACCTCAAAAGAAGTTCATGCATTCACATCATTCTCAAAGTAAGACACATGCCACAAAAACATCAAGATCAAGTATCCATTCATCAAGGTCAGAAGCAAAGTCAAATGATATGCATCAAGTTCAAAACCA